GGGTTACACCTTCAGCCTTGGCTCTGGCTCTGTTTCCTGGCGTTCTACACGCTCTTCCTCTGTTCTCAGCTCCAGTTGTGAGGCTGAGATCTACGCCACAGCCATGGCTGCCTAGGAGCTACGCTGGCTCACCTACCTGCTGACCGACCTCGGAGAGCGGCCTAGTTCTCCTCCAGTGCTGTACGTCGACAACAAGGCAGCCATTGCTTTGTGTGAGGAGCACAGACTGGAGCACAGAACGAAGCACATCGCTCTGCGCTACTTCCTTGCTCGAGAGCTGCAGCAGCGTGGTCAGCTTCGTCTGCGTTACGTGGCCACTCGGGCCAACACTGCTGATGTGTTCACCAAGGCACTTCAGCCTTGTGACCATCAGCGTTTCTGTACTGTTCTAGGCCTTGTGCCTACTCTCCCTCACTTGCTCACTTCTTGACTCTGCTTGTACTGTGATCTCTATATATATACCTGCATGCTTTCACTTGCTAGGTTGTGATCACTGTACCTCTTGTTCTATTATCAAACTGCATGTGAACTGGTCTTGTGACCACTTGCTTGTGCTCGGAATTTGTGTGGTCTCCTTGAGATCCACCCTGAGCTTTGCTTTGCTTTGACTGGTCCTGTGACCCCTTGTTCTCCCCCACTTAGCCTATGGGGGTGTGTCAAACTTTATATGTGTTATATTTGTGTAGGCTATTGTGGGTTAGCCTCTAGGGGGTACAGAACTAGGTTTGTCATACTTGTACTCACATTCTGTCGTTGATTTCGACAATAGCCGCCGCTGGTGCTCCAACCACCGCTGCTCCTGACGCTGCTGCTACAACTGTCGCTGCCACCTCTGGCGCTGCTACAGCCGCCGCTGCCGCTGCTGCTACAGTCGCCGCTGCCGCTGCCGCTACAGCCGCCGCTGCCGCTGCCGCTAGTGCCGCCGCCGCAGCTACTGCTACAGTTGCGAAAACCGCAGCCGCCACTGATACAGCCACCACTGTACAGGCTTTTGACGCGGAGGGCCGCCCGATCGAGTACGAATCCTGGCTAGTGGACTTTCACCGGTACCTGCAGAACGTTACCAGGGACGATGCCTCATTTTTTTAGCACACGTCCGGTTTCCTTAAGGCCCTGCCCACTCCTACTGACCCTGGCTCGTCTGCTAGCGATACTGAGCCATAGCATTACAAGGCTGATCGCATTGCCTCTACCCAGTGGCTGTCACGTGACACCACCGCTCAGCTTGCTGTCTGGAACTACCTCTTGCTAGACCAGAGGCCCCACTACCACCAGCTCAAGACGGCCAAAGCGCTCTATGGCGCTGTAGTCAAGAGCTACTCTTCCCCCTCTTCTGCTGCCTTAGGCCGTCTTGCACTGCCGTTCCTCTTCCCTGAGCTGTGCGACGTTGCCACTGTCGCCGACCTCATCACCCATCTGCGCTCCCTTGACACGCGCTACCATGCTGGTCTCCCAGAGTTTCTTACTACGAACCAGCCCCCTATGGATCTCATTGTCTACTTCCTCACGACTCGCCTTCATGGCTCTCTGCGCACCATTCGAGACTACTGTCTCTCCCTAAACCCCACTGAGATCACCCTTGCCTCGTTTGAGTCCCGTCTCCTCGAGGCCGAGACCACTGCCCGCGCTGTAGCTGCCTCCCGTGGCACTACCCTCCGCTCCTCCTTTGAGGGATGCTCCCCCTTCCTCGTAGGGCCTGCAGTTGCCTCTGCTGCTGCTGTTGACTTCCTTCGAGCTGAGGAGGTCGGTGCTACGTCTGCCCCTAGCAGGAGGCGCAGCGGCAGGGGTGGGCATAAGAAGGGTGGGGGCGGTGGGGGTGGTGGAGGAGGCGGTGGAGGTGGTGGGGGTGGTGGATGTGGCGGTAGCTATGGAGGTGGCGGGGGTGGTGGGGGCAGTGGGGGTGCTGGGGGTGGTGGAGGGCGCACGGGCGGTGGTCAGGGTGGAGCTGGCGGGGATGGAGGCTCGGGTACGGCCACTAGAGGAGCTGCGTCTGGCAGCGCAGCTGGTGGAGGCGCAGCAGTAGCAGCCTCAGCAGGAGACTCTCTTGCCGCAGCAGCTTCGTGAGTAGGTTGCCCAGCGAGGCGGAGGCGGAGGTCGCTGCCAGTACCGCCGATGCACGGGCCGCCCTGGAGAGGTCTGCGGCAGGCAGGGGCACACTGGGGGTCGCTGCTTCTACCGTCTTGATGACGCCTTTCGAGCGGAGTTTAGTGAGTAGGCAAAGACTCTGGACCAGTTAGCATTGCTAAAGAAGAACATAGATGTGTTTGCTCTTGATTGGGACCATATCTCTGCTGGCACGTCTGCTATGTATGCTACTGGTGCTAGTGCGGTGACTACAATTCTTGTGTACCTAGCTCTGGTATTGTAGACGCTGCTAGTCTAGGTGCTTGTGAGTCTGTTAGCACAGGTGCAGTTCATGCGGAGGCTTTGCACACCTTCACGCTGGACTCAAGTGGAATTCTTGCCAAACTTCTGTGTGAACACAAGCAAGAAGTAAGAACGCTACTAGAGCGCTACGATCACTCGCACAGCTCCGTGCCCTCCTCCGTAGTCCACTCCCGTTGTGTAGTGACTCTCCGCAAAGGTCAACAGTCGCAGGAAGTCAACGGTCGCGACTGTTGACCGCCCAGTAACCGTACTCGGAAGTTACACGGTGCAACCTGGTAACTGTCGAGTACATCAATAGTCGCGGTTACTGTAGCAATGCAATGCAGTTAATAAGGGAATGTACCCCTCATAGTACATGGCTAGCTAGGATTTCTATCTATATCCTTGTACTCTTATCTTACATCATCTTGTTCTCTTCCAAACTATAATCAACAAGGTTGTTGGAATAACCGGAAGGTTATTATAACATTCCCGAAGGTTCTCTCCTAGCGCGCCACTTCATAACGAAGCAGCGCCACTGTACCAGTACCGCAATAGCTCATATAGAGCACACGGCAGCTCGAGAGCCACTCGAAGGTCAACAGTCGCAGTTGGTCAACGGTCGTGACTGTTGACCGCCCAGTAACCGTACTCGGAGGTTACACGCAGCAATATGGTACCTGTCGAGTAGAGTAATAGTCGCGGATACTGTAGCAATGCAATAGAGTTAATAAGGGAATGTACCCCTGAGAGCATCTTGTTCTCTTTCAACTATTATTAACAATGTCATTACAAGACTTCATTGCCTTTCTAGAACTGAGCAATTCTTATCCTATCCACTGCGATTCCCGGTTATATCAACAAATGTCATTACAAAACTTCACTGTCTTCTCACAACTTGGCTAGACTTATCCTATCCACTACGGTTCCCGGTTATATCAACACCAATGCCACCCTTTCGAGCCATCTTCGCCCGACGTCCCCGCCTAGCTAGGATTCCCCCTATTAAATCCTGTGACTTTCATTGTATCGTGTTTCAGTTAATCACAGCCTCAATATTCGTTTACTTTGCGCAGTGTCTAAGTTCATTCATAACACTTTGTAACAGGACACAACACTACACTAGCAAACCCTTCCTCCATACCGACTGTCACACACGAAGTCACATGGTATCGCAAACCCGTTACGCGCGGGCCAGGGTTTTGCGGACCACCCAAACTTCCTCCGCCTGGCTTTAGAATTTCAGGTGCTCTTCAGCACGGAGGTCCACCAACGAAGCACTCGTTGTAGGCAGAAAACTTTCCATAACCCATTACCATTCACGACATCACGCGCCATTCGTTTGAAAGAGCTTCCCGTGTTCAGCCCATTACCATTCACGATGGCGATTTCAGACGTCGACGGTACACCGTCCAGCGGAACGGCCCGGCAGGATTCCTCGCCGGCTGCTGTCACGGAATCAAACGGACCGAAGGCAGGATTGGCGAAAACAGGTCTGACGAAAGGCCAGCGAAAGCCGCCACACCTTCGCGAAAGGTACTTCGGTGACGGTAGCAAGGTCGCAATCTCGAAGAAAGAGACGAGAGGGAATGCGGCGCAAGGTTCTGGGTCTAATGCGGAGGAGGGTTTAGGGCGCACGGTGGGGGGTTTAGGGTTGGCGGGGAGAGAGCCTGGAGGCGGGGAGGCGGAGACGGATTGGAGCGCGTGGGGGAAGGACTCCGCGGAAGACGAGGGGAGGGGGAAGGGCGAGGAGCGGAGGGAGGCAGGAATGGTGGAGGAGGGGGAGGTGGAGGAGGATGATGAAGGGGAGGATGGTGTGGACGCGGAGACGCGCGGCAGGATGGGCAAGTACAGCCGCGGCAAGGCGCTCAAAACCGAGGTGGGTCAAAACCGAGGTGGGTCAAAGCCACGGTGGGGCTGTTGAGACTGAGGTGATGCGCGCGTGCTGCAGCAGTTGAGCGAACGTGGTGCGCGCAGTGGTGGCGCAGTGGTGCGCATAGTGGGCAGGCGTGGACAGCGGCAGGCGATGCTGGTTGTTGCGAAAGGAAGGGGGGAGGAGCAGCGAGTGCGAAGGGGCGTGGAGAGTTGGTCGTAGACTCGCAGGTGTGGTGAGGGGCGCTAGAGGCTCGTTCCGGCGTTGACACGGCGATGTGGTGAGCGGTGCAGAGCGGTGATATGGTGTGGTTGCTGCTGCGAGCCGAGCCTCCACTTTCTACTGGTGCTGCGACTAGCTATCGCACCTGCGACTAGAAATCGCATCTGCGACTCCCTTATCCACCATCTGGCCCTCACCTCCCTCCAAATCCTCCCCCCACCCCCCCAACACACCACCTTCAAACCCCTTCACACCCCTTCATATTCAACCTTCAAATCACCCCTTTACCCCATCTTTACGCCCCCACCCCCCTTCTCCATCCATTCACCCCCCCTTCATTTCCCCCTTCATCTCCCCCTTTTCCTGCCCTCTTCATCTCCTTCGTGCCCCCGCTGATTCTGTCTCCCCCGCTGCTGATTCTGTCTCCCCCCTCCGCACCTTCTGTTCTGACTGCTGCCCCTTTCTCCCGGACCTCCCTCCCACTTCTTCCCCCCATTTTCCGACCACTCAGAAATTTCCGGGCAGATTGAAAGCAAAGATGGAGCATCGGGAGAAGGTGATTGGGCAAGGAGTCTTGACGGCTGCCCAGGCAGAGAAGGTACGTGTGCAGCGCCCTACCTCCTTTCACCAACGCTCGTTGTCTTCCCCGCACTCGCCTGTTTGGTGCTTCCCATTGCCCCTCATTCCTATCTGGCCTGCGCCTCACTCACTCACACCCATGCTCTCCGCTCCACTCGTCCTCCTATCATCTTATACCTGCCCGTCTTTCCCGATCCAATTCCGCTAGAAAACTTACTCTTGTCTATCTGCTGGTTCTCTGTTCCCGTCCGTCCCCCATGCCAACCCCCCTGCTTTCCTTCACTTCTTGGCCACAACGCACCCTCTCCTTCCCCCTCCACAGGGGTCGGATGAAATGCAGGCTGCCTGTCTCTTGCATGTACCTCCTCTTGCCCAACCCCTTCCTTGCCCTCCCCGGCCCTCGCCTCCCAGCACCCACTCAGCGCGTGCTGCTGTGGGAATTAGGGTGCACGCAGGCGGATAGCTCTGCACTGCACGACCTTCCCCTCCTGTCGGGCATCCTACAGGAGGGGGAAGGAGAGGGTGCGTTAGGCAGAGTGTGGTTGGTCATCATGAGCCTGCATGTCATCCTACCCCTGTGGAGGGGGGAGGAGAGGGTGCGTTGTGGCCACGCTCTGCCCCACCATGCTCTCCCCCCCCTCGATGCTCCCCCTCACCACGTTCCCACCTGTGTCACAACCCCACCACCTCCCCCTCCCCCTCCCCCCTCTTCCCCCCCCGTCCGCCACACTCCGCCACCACACTCTTCTCCCCCTCTCACCCCCCACCACACTCCCCCCGCCACACTTGTCTCCCCCTCCCACACCCTCCCGTCCCTCTTCCGCTAAGCACCATCAGAGGCTGCTGCCGTCAGATCAGAAGCAGGGGGTACGTGGTGGTGGAACAAGTGGAGCACACGAGCAACCTGGCGCAGGCCGATATGTGATGCTCAAACCCACATCCCCTGCTCACTTCCCCCTGCACTTCCTCCCCATTCTCCCACCCCTCTCCATCTCCCTTCCCCTCCTGCCCTCCCCCAGTGGCTTCTGCCGTCAGAGGCAGGGTATGTGGAGGCGGAGGGCGTGGAGCGCACGAGCAACCTGTCTCAAGCTGACATCGTGCAGCACGTGGGCGCCGCCAGCAGACGAGCTGCCTTCGACCTCAAGCTGCCAGGTGCGGGCGTGATGGGGTGGTGGTGGTGTGATGTGATGATGGTGATTGGGGGGGTGGTTGGTGTGATGTATGGTAGGCACAGTGCAGCAGCGCATGGGTCATTGGGGTGGCGAGCAGGAGATACGTTTTGACCTTGATTGAGCGGGTGGATGGTGTGGCCACGTGGATGGTGTGGCCACGTGGATGGTGTGGTGGGTGGGAGGTAGGGATGGTACAACCCTCCAGCAATCCTCCCAAACTGCGACCAGCTCTCCTCTTCCCGGTCCTTCTCTCCTCTCCCGAGCTCCCTGCTCTCTCAATACCTTAACATAGGCCTTCTTGAACCATCTGTGTGTGATGACCTTATTAGGTACCTTTTGAGAATTCTCAAAAGCGACTCAATTCTGCCTCAATTTCCTCAAACTGTGGCTTCTGACTGAGGCGGCCCCTTCCTGCTTTCACTCGCTGCTACCTTGCCCCATTCTCCCGCCACCAGACAGACCAGTGGAATGGAAGGCAGCCCCTTCTGGCTTCTACTCAAAACAGCCCCTTCTAGCTTGTTCGTACCCAAGCCAGCTTTCCCCGCGCTAACTCCCTTGTGGTACCTTCCTCTTCTCCCCCCCGTCAGAGCTGGGCCCATACAAGGCGGCCTACTCGCTCAACGGGCGCAGCCTGCTGCTGGGGGGGCGCAAGGGGCACCTCGCTGTGGTGGACTGGCGCCGCTGCCACGTCACCACCGAGATCCAGGTGAGGGGCGTGTGGGAGCGTGTGGAGAGCGTGTGAGGGGCGTATGAGGGGAGTGTGGCGGGGGGAGGGGGGGAGAGGGTGGGGTGAGGTGAGGGGCGTTTTGGGGCGTGTGATGGGCGAGGACTGGCGGCGCGGCACTGCCATGTCACCACCGCGATACCTGTAGGGCCGTGCGACGGGTCTGTGAGGGGCATGGCGAGGGCAAGTGAGGGGTGTGTGGGGGGCGTGTGGGGGGTGTGTGAGGCAAGTGAACCTGGGGAGAGGAGAGTGATGGTGGTGCATGTTCATGGGTATACGGACCCTCGGATTCTGGATGGATAATTCTGGATCTAGTTTACTGCTTCTCCTACACACATCTAGTGTCTGGCGGCTTCAAGTTACCTCAAAGCGCCTCCTTGTGGCATTTTTCCCCTCATCACTTATTCTGCTCTATCCTTGTATGCTCCCGTCTCCTCTCCTTGCTTGTCTTGTCTGTGTGCACATGGTCACGTGGATGTATCTATGTATGGTAACGTGCGCTTGTGTATGTGTGACTATGCCCGTATATGCCCGGATTTGCCTGTTTGCGCATGTGTTCGCATGTCTATGTGTGCGTGTCTGTGTGCTGCGTGCATGTCTTTGCATGTGTGTATGTGTGCATGCGTGTGCGTGCGAATGCGTGTATGTCTGTGTGCACATTGCATCTTGACTTACCAGGTGCGGGAGACGGTGCACGATGTGTGCTTCCTCCACAACGAGCAGTTCTTTGCCGCCGCGCAGAAGAGGTGAGTCAGTACTGCTGCCCGCCACTGATCGGATTTACAAGTATGGGAGAATCAGTGGGGGTTTTCGTCCGTTCTTGTCGGCTCCTCTCCACACATGCGCATGTATGGTTTGCTGCCATGCAGAAAAATTGAGCTTTTCCTTGCTTGTCTTGCCAATAACCAAGACCACCACACCACATACTCTTGCTGCTGTAACCATGGTGCCCCCCACATCGCCCCTCGCCCCTCTTCCCCCTCCCCTCACCCCCCACCCCTCCCCCAGGTACACATTCATTTATGACAAGAGGGGAATCGAGCTGCATTGCCTCAAGGTCCGCTGTCCACTCCTCGCTCCATGCTTCACGCTTTTCTCACAGGCTTCGGTTTCCCCACTCCTCCCTTGCTACTCTTACCACTCTTCACCTGCCCTGCTCCTCACCCACCCCTGAAAGCCTCCTGGCCGTCCCACGGCAGCACTGCATCACCAACCACCCCTTGCACCGCTGCCTCACAGGCTCCTCATTCGGCCTCCTCTTCCCTCCTCCCTCCTTCTCCCTTTTTCTCCCTCCTCCCTCCTCTTCCCTCCTCTTCCCTCTTTTTCTCTCCTCTTCTCTCATCTTCCCTCCTCGTCTCCCCTCACCCCTCCTCGTCCCTCCTCGCCCCTTTTTTACTGCTCTTTACCCGCTCTCCCCTTCGCAGAACATCACGGGCAGCGGCGCATTGCGTCTGCAGTACCTGCCGCACCACATGCTGCTGGCGTCCATCTCCAAGGGCGGCGTGCTGGACTACGTGGACACCACCACGGGCCGCCACGTGGCGCAGTGCAAGACGCGCAAGGGGCGCTGCGACGCCATCACAGCGGACAGCCGCACGGGTGTGATCTCCCTGGGCCACAGCAACGGCACCGTCACCCTCTGGAGCCCCTCCATGGGCACTCCTCTCGCCACACTCCTCGCGCACCACGCGCCGATCACGGCCATAGCGAGTGATGCATCGTCCGGGAGGTACCTGGTGACGGCGGGCATGGAGGGGCGCGTGCGCGTGTGGGACGTGCGCACACTGCGCGAGCTGCACTCGTACGTCTCGCCCACGCCAGCGAGGACGGTCGCGCTGAGTCAGCGCGACATGCTGGCGGTGGGGTTTGGGTCGGCGGTGGAGGTGTGGAAGGAGGCGCTGACAGCGAAGCAGCACACGCCGTACCTGAAGCTCCGGATTCAGTCGAGTGGGGCAAACAGGAACACAAGGAGTGGCGGGGGAGGGGGCGCGGCAGCATCTTTCTCCGGAACCACCGCGGCAGCAGCGGTGGAGAGACTTTCCTTCTGCCCGTACGAGGACGTTTTGGGCGCCGGGCACGCGGAGGGGTTTTCTTCGCTGCTGGTGCCCGGGGCAGGCGAGGCGAACTTTGACTCGTTTGTGGCGAACCCGTTTGAGACGGGGAAGCAGCGGCGCGAGGCGGAGATCCACATGCTGCTGGACAAGCTGCCCCCCGAATCCATCATGCGCGACCCCGACCGCATCGGCACCCTGCTCCGCCCCCATGACCGCCAGCGCACTCTCACCAACGCCCTCGTCTCCAAGGCTAACGCCGCGGCTCGGGCAAAGAGCCTCGGGAAGAGCCCTGGGGAAAAGAAGGGAGGGGGTAAGGAAGGTGGGGAAGGTGGTGGGGGAGGGGGAGGGGAAGGGGGAGAGGAGGGGGATGAGGAGGATGAGGAGGAGGGTGAGGAGGAGGGAAAGGATGGGGCGAAGCGGCCTCGGGAGAAGAACAAGACCAAGGGGCGGAACAAGCCGTCGAAGCGAGCCAAGAAGAGGAAGATGAACATCATTGAGAGCAAGAGGGAGGCCACTCGGAGAGACGTGCGCGCCAAGGAAGGGGGGGGAGTTGGAGGGGCGAGCGGAGGAGGGGAGGAAGGGAAGTCTGCAGTGCCGCTTGCTCTGGCTCGGTTTCAACGGAAAGGAGCAACATAGGGGGCGGGCATGTGGCATGAAAAGGGGCATATGAAGAGCGGTGCAGTGCACCAACAGGAGTGGCCAGACCGGTAGTACATATCTACTGATTTCTCTGTGTCTGATTCAGATGTTTACCATGACCTCCAATCCAACTGCTGTCCGGAAAAGCTTGGAGGTGCAATTGTGGCAGTTTGCACAGCTTTGTTACTGCATAGAAATTGGAAATGGATGTTGTGACATTTACAAACAACGGGGAACCATACAGTACTGGTACAGGGTCATTCCCATTAGCAGTTTACATGACGTCACAGAATAGTTTCCCCAGTCAAACCACGCTGTCCCAGCAGCAAGTGTGCATAGTATCTCAGGCCACGTACAGCCCATACATGTCTGGAACACCTTCAACATTTAGGCACCCTCTACTGCCAATCAGTTTGTCACACCTATTAGCGTTCAGGCTATGCAGCATCTGGAGCTGGGTGAAATCGTCTGGCAGAGACTCGAGGTGCGTGCACGATTCCAGGTCAAGAGCCTTCAGGCGACTCAGCTGGGCGAAATTGCAAGGCAGGGAGCGTATGGCGGTGAAGCCAAGGTTGAGCTTGTGGAGGCAGGAGAGGCGGGTGAGGGAAGCAGGGAGGCGGGTGAGGGATGAGCAGTGGGCCAGGTTCAGCTGGCGCAGCCGGGATAAGGCACCAATGCTGTCTGGAAGGGAAGCCAGCTTGGGTGCATGGGCTTCCAAGGAGGTCAGGCAGTGCATCTGACTGACCGTCTCTGGCAGCCCTCTCAGTTCCGCAGCCTGCTCTATGCGCAGCTGCCTCAGCTGCTGCAAGGCCGATCCAAAAGCATGCGGAAGCGTCTTCATGCGTGCAGCACTTCGAATGGTCAGCGTGCGGAGGTTAGGGCAGAACGCCAGGGAGAGTGGGAGCTCCTCTGCCTCGCCTGCCAGAGCCAGCTCCATGTGCTCAAGGGAGGTCAAACTCACGGTAGCCACCAACCCACGCACCAGGGCAACACCAGTCAAGCTTATACACCTCAGCCTTGTCAGCGCAGGAAGCTCTATGAGAGGGGTGAGCCGCTGGACGCTCCCCAAACTGAGCGTCTCAAGCGACGGTGGGAGGGATTTGCAGACCTCTGGCAGCTGCGCGCACTTGCCGATGGCCAACTCCTTCAGCCTTCCAAGGGCGCTCAAACTCCCGGGAATGAAAGAGAGCCTGCTGCAGCCTTCAACTCTCAGAACCTCAAGGCTTGCAAGGTTAGTAACAGTCTCAGGAAGCTTCCGGATCTTGGGGCATGCCCGGATGCTTAGCTCGCATAAGTTACTCAGCCACCCCACGCCCTCTGGGAGCTCCTTTAACATGCCACACTGGGTGAGCTCGAGCCTTGTCAGTGATTTCAGCTGTGTGAACGAGCACGGCAGCAGCTCTTGTACGCGATTTAGAGTCACTCGGAGAGTGTGAAGGTCGGTGAGCCCTCCAATGTCTTCCGGAAGACACAGCTTCGGCGAGTTGGCGATGCAGAGGGACTTGAGTGCGTGGAGGCTGCCGAACCTTGCAGGCAACGCCACCATTGCACGGCAGTCAACCAGATTCAAGACCTCCAGCGTTGAGAGCTGAGAGAAAGAGTCCGGCAGACCTGAGATGAGCACTTGCTGCAGCGACAACTCTCTCAAAACGGGCAGCCTTCCAAAGCTTTCAGGTAGGCTGACCAGGTTGACCTCAGAGATTGTGAGCTTCAGGAGGCAGCTGAGGGAAGAGAAGTGATGAGGCAGCTCGGGTAGGTCAGGGCATGCGCAGATGCTCAACTCTCGCAGGCGTGGCAGAGCTCGAGCTCGTCAGAGCAGCTGAGAAGAAGCCGCTCGAGACGGCTGCACGAGACTCCTGGCGGAAACAGCAAGTCGAACCGCGGAGTGCTGTAGTTGAATTCCAGCGACTCAAGGAAAGGTATGTGGGCAAACGAGACGGGATACGCGTCCTCGCCTTCGAGAACGAGCTCCGTCTCGCCGCACAGGGAGAGGTTGGCGAAGGCGGGCAGGTGCACGAGGCTGGAGAGATCCAGCTCCTCCTGATCCGACTTGTCCACGGAGAGAGTGGCGAGAGACGACAGGTTGGTGAATCCCGGCGCTTCTAGCGCTGCGCTGTGGGTCACAGCCAGAGTGTGCAGGTCCGTGAGGAGCGAGAGGGACGCAGGCAGCCTCCCAAATCGATGCAGGCAGTAGAGCGAGAGGTGCTGCAGTTGAGTGCAGCGACGCAGGAAACGGTCCAAACCAGCCTCGGTCACCGGATGCTCGCGCTCCCTTTCCCAGTCCCAGATTTTCATGATCTCCTTGCCCACGTGGAGCGACACCAGCTTAGGGCATGCAGCGGCGAGGTGAGCGAGGAAGGCGTCGTCGATGCTCTCCACGCTGTTGTCGCTCAGATGCACATGCGAGAGGTGAGGGAAGCACGTGACGGCCGCGGTGAGGTCTTGGAGCGAAACGGCACGATTGTCCTTGACGACGAGCATGGACACATGCTGGCGAGCCAGGCGACGCCAGCGCGTGCAGACGGACGCAATGAGGAGATTGTAGGCCGTATCTGTGAGCGCGGGAGGAGCTGTCAACGGACTGTGGCTCTTCCGGTGCAGCGAGCTTCGCTGCGAAGAGCCTTCGGAGGTGTTGAGCTCCTCGCCGTACGGGTTCTCGGAGTTGTACCTTAGACGAGGCAGCACGAATGGGGCTGGAGTGTTGCCCCTTACTACGGGCTTGAAAGATATAGGTTGCTCAGAGTGCCATAAAATATGTATGAGGAGGTCGTCCGACAGGTTATGAATGTACGAGCGAGCCATGTCTAGCAGCTAGAAAGAACGAGATGAACTTCTGGCGGAAGGAAGTAAATTGTTGTGAGAAACGAACAAGGCAGCTTAGAAAGTCAACAAGCTAAGTTGGCTGCTGGAGCTCTGCGTTGTTTCAGTACGAAGAAAAGGTATCCTTGCTTCTCGGCTTCTCTCTACTTTCTCTCAGCTTCTCTCTGATGCGGAGAGAGCTTGTTGTAGGAGCGAGTTCTAGTTGGAAGTTGATCCTGCCACTGTGATTCGCATTTCACAGGGCAGAAGTGATAACGTTTTTGAAAAAGCATGTACAACGAAGGTGTTCCCCGTTCCAGGTTTAAGGTTTTTATTAGGTCGTGACCTTATTACAGACATGCAACAAGATGAGGATACAGGCAGAGCCTAGCTCCCCGTAGGGAGCACGTGTAAGCACGTCATCCTCCTACTACAGGAGCAGAGGTGTCCAAGGACAAATATCTTGCTGACATGTGGCAAGGGGGGGAGGATCGAGTCAAGGAGGGTGGAAGATGTCGTTGAGAAGCCAGGTAGCACGCATGTCCGGGTGGATGCTGGGCACGTCAGCGTCGGTAAGCTGAAAGAACCGATACGATTGGGCCAACTTGGCAATCCGTTTGGCTTTGGCCTGCTTCTTCCTCGAACCTTTAGAGCAACGCCATAATAGGATTTTGTAGGCTAGCAGGAAGTAGTGTAGAACTTGAAAAAGTGCATCCCCCGTCTTGGTGGTGGTCTGTCTATAGCGAAAACTGCAGCGAGCATTCCAAATGGTCTTAGCAGCCGCACCAACGAGGAGACTCCATGGGGCCCCCTGCCCTGCTCCGGCTGAAAGCGGAAATAAGGTCAGTTCTGGTGAAGTGGAGATTCCGAGATGGCTGCTGGCAGTGCGTTGTAGGGCATCGATGACCGGCTTCGCCACGCCACACTCGAAAAAGAGATGTGGCAGAGTCTCGAGTTGTCCACTGGAGCACCCAGCGCAGGCACCCTTATCACGGCCGAAACTGAATCTGGAGCCAGACGGAAGAGCAAGTGTGTAGAGTCGGAAAAGAACGTCACGCTGCGACGATGGTTGCTCTGAGAGGAAAGGATGTTTATAGTCGGGGAAGAGCGGAGGGCCGGGACTCAGGAGCAGGTTCGTCCAGCGGGGAGGGTGGGTGAGCTCCTGTTTAATGTACAAGATGTCTCGAATGGCCGCTAAGGACGGGAATCCGTCGTTGAGCAGAGGGAAGCGGGCAGCGAGACCAGCGCCGGAGCAGAAGGAGCCTCCGAGCCATCTGTCGAAAACGTGTACAGGGACGGTTTCCAGAGGAGAAAGAAGTCGGCGTTCCGTGGCTTCCTTCGCTATTCGGCCTGTACTGTCCACAAAAAACATGTTAGCAAAGAAGGTCCCATCCGTCAAGGGGTCATCCACCTCAAAGACAATATTGGGAGGGGAGAACATATCGGCAGCGAGCACGACCCAATCGCCTGTGTAAAGGGGGACCAGACTGTGAGAGGACGCCAGAGCCGCCCACCATTCTCTGGGCATTGCGTCGTAGACTTCGTTGATGATCCTGCGACTGCAAGGGTAAGTGCTGGGGGGGTATTGAGCCATGATTTCTGCATTGGTGAGCCGCCGAGCGCCGGAGGCATTGCGCCGAACAATGTGACCAACCCGTACTTCCTTGGCGAGTAAGAAACCTTCTTCTTTGAGTCGTCCAAACGGCCGCCCGTCAGGTTTAACAATGAACCGGTTAAACGGCACAGGTTCTGCCAGTAGACACCAGAACTCATGACGAGGGGAGGAGACCTCTAGCGACGCTTCCAGCAGGCTGCTGACTTCCTCGCGCACACGGATGGGGGTGGAAGGGGGAAGGGCAGGAACGAAGTCCGCATGTGAGAGAAAGCCATGAAGGCCAAAGGGGATGGGGATACACGTCCTGGCAACAGAAGCGTCAGGGAGAGGTGAGAGGCGGCGCAGGGCACGTTTGGAAGGCCGGATTGCCCCCAAACCGCCGTGCTCGGTTTTGTTGTAGAGAACTGTGTGTGTGAGGAGGCACGTGGTGCGTCCTGCAGAGACGTATTTGGAAGCAGACAGGAAATTGCCAACGGTATCATCCAGAGCCTTGGTGGTGGGGGACGGGGGGGGCTGGAAGCGTGCTGGGAAAGTGAGGGTCGAATTCAGATTTTCCGAGGCCAACAACTTACAGCAAGAGGAGGTGGCATGAAGATGGGAGAGGAGATTGGCTGAGCGCTTAATTTTTGTGAGTGCATGGCTCCACGTGACGTCCGTCTGTCCGGAGCTACCGACAAAAATGCCTAGAATCCTCTCGAACTCCGAAGCCTGTCGGATAGAGATATCTCCTGCTCGGGTAATGGATGCTGGGTCAACGTTGAACGGGATAAGGGAGCACTTAGCCCAATTAGGGTGTTCACCTGAGACCGAGGCGAAGGAGAGGAGAGCATGGGAGGCAATACACAGTTCCTCATTTGAGTTAAGGAATATGGTGACATCATCAGCATAGCAGGCCATCAAGCGTCGCTGCGTAGGGGAGATAGGGAAGCCGGGAAGGAAACCGGAGGTGTAGCGGTGGAAAACTTCCACCACACATAAGAAGAGGAGCGGAGCCAGCGGGCAGCCCTGTCGAACCCCGGTTAACACGGGGATGGGGGGGCCACACAGATTGTTGACCGAAATACAAGTGGACGTTCCGGAATGCATGAGTCTTATCCACTGTATGAAAGGGGGGGGCAGGCCGAGATGCGCTAGGCAGGAGAACAGGAATTCTCGATCAACCATGTCATAGGCTTTGCGGATATCGACTGTGAGTGCAAGAAGAGGAAGGGATTGAGTAGTAGCCCAGTCAAAGATATCAAGAGTGTCGTTCAACGTATCTCCAATCTTCCGGGACTTGATAAACGCTGTCTGCGAATGATGGATGAGGGAGGGGAGAAGGGGCTGCAACCTGTTAGCTAAGCAAATCGCCAGGATTTTGTAGTCCGAATTCATGAGCGTTATAGGCCGTAGGTTGTCAACCACCGAGGCATCGCTTCGCTTGGGGATGAGCACAGTTCGTCCCTGGAGCATAGAGGGGGGAAGATGATCGTGGGAGCCAAGCAACAGAGAATGAATGGCCGGGGCAAATTGAGCGCGAAAGGACCGAAAAGGTTCTCCAGGCAGGCCGTCCGATCCTGGGGTTTTTCCCTTGGGGAGGGAAGCGATGGCCTTGGAGACCTCTGCCAGGGAAAAAGGGAGGGAAAGCCGAGAGGAAACAGGCTGTGGAAGTTGCGAAGCGGGGATGCGCGCCTAGAAGGAAGGATCGGTCAGCACCTTCTGAGAGCCGCTGTAGAGATTTCGGAAGAATGCGGTACAGAGAGAGGACATGCCGGGAAGGTCAGAAATGAGTTCCCCCGATGAGGCCTTCAGGGAGGGGATCAGGGACGCTTTGATACGGCGGTTAAATCCAACCATGAGGGAGGACACTCCCATCTCCCGCGGGCCTTCGACTTTGAGCTTGGATTTGAGAGCCAGCTCCGCGGACCGACTGGCCTCATACCGCTCGAAGTGAAGGGAGGCAGTACGAAGACGCTCTTTAGCCACCGCATCTGTAGGGTTGATCGCCAGATGGATACGAAGCTGACACGTAAGATTCTGCAGGTGGGACTTAGTTTTCCGGATTCGGATTATTTCTTGTCCCGCGAAGACCTTAAGTTGTCTGCACAACCCGGTTTTCCAGACGTCCCATTCTGCAGCCGTGGGCGAGGGGGGAAGAGACCGGCATGCGGAGGCAACAATCTGAGACGTTTGAGGGCGCTTAAGGACATCATGCGGTAGTCGCCAAGGCCGCGGAGCGATATTGGGGCTGTCACACTGAAGAACACTATAAGGCGAGAGATCGTGATCAGACACAGCACTAGAGACAGAGACGTAATCGGCGTCGAGCAGTCGTGCTGCCAGTGATGCGGAAATGTAAATCCGATCTAGCCGCGACGCAGACGGCGGTGAGTCGACTTGATCCACCCTCGGAATCGTGAAAAAGGAGAACATAGTGGCTGTGGGGTAGACTTTCCGGAAGGAATCGACTAGCCGGTGATTGTCCAAGATGGTTGAGAGGATAGCACCCTCAGACACTTCGTGACTGAGTAAGGGCCGGTTCCTATCTTCAGGAGCACAGACCGTGTTGAAATCGCCTGCAAGCACAGTACCAGACGCTGCGGTAGGAGAATCGAGAGCAGGCGCGAAGATTGCCCGCCACCATTGACGTCTGAGGGTAGTAGTGCAGGGTGCGTAGGCAACGATGAGGCGAAACTGTTCCTGTAGAAAATTGACATGTACAGTGAGTAGCCGCCCGTCAAGCGAGGGCTCGGTAGAAGAAATGCCGATGTTCTTATTAAAAACTAGGATAGCAATACCACCTGGTTTAGCACGATCAGTGAAGGGGGGAGGACATTGAGCATGGGAGGAAGGTTTAAACGACAAAAGAAGACGGGGAAAATTAAGCGTAAGCCGAGTATCTATCAAAACCAGAATATCAGTTTTTTTTTCACATTCAGAAACCCACGAACGTAAGTCATACATTTTTTGCTGCTTATTAAGTCCGTTGACGTTGATGCATCTGATGGTCAGAGGAATTAACATTGAATAACAGCGGAGACCCCCACATGCTGACGCATGTGCATCCACGGGGCACGAGTCGGGACAGATTGTGAGATCACTGAGCAGGCGGGAAGCCTCACCAGTGCAGTTACACTCTTTTGCAAGGGATACAGCATGAGGATACGGCAAGAGAGCAAGCTGCACAGCAGCTGCACTAGTTGGGAAGCTACCCTAGCACAAGCAGGAGCCCGGCCGAGATAGAAGGCATCTACTGCAGGAACGCAGCGATGCGCGGGTGCTGCAGGAGAGTGGTGACCCTCCAGGCACCGTACTTGTCCTTTGTCGCAGGCAGGTGTGCGGATTCCTGCAGGTGCTTGCGGTGGAGCTCGGAATTGAGGTGGTACATGGCGCTGTCCAGCGCCAAGCCACACTCGAACTCGCACATAGAACACGTCCAAACCTCCACGTCCAGGTCGACCCCAATCAGGAGGAGCCCGGGGTCCTTCTTGAAGGCAACGGGGGCCGGCTGCTGGCCAATCAATCGCCCTGTGTGGGGGAAGGCGAGGATAGAGAGCGCAGCAAAAAAGGAGGGAGAAGCTATCGTGGCACAGGGGCCGGCAGGGCAAGCAACAGAAGGCGCAGGGCCACTAAAAAGTGAAACCGCGGAGGCAGAAGTCAACGGTATAATACACCACCAGAGGCAAGGAAGGCAGGATGGGAAGGTACCAAGCCAGCAAGAACAGCCAAAAAAACCACCAGAGGAGCATCATACCGTTAACAGCTTGAAGCTGGGCCACCGAGATGGTGTGGCGGTTAAGGAGTCGCGCGCGGCGGGTGAGGGCAAAGCACGCGTGGTCAGCCACTCGGTGGTTACTGGTGCACACGGTGCACGAATGGGACGAGATGTTGAGAAGCACAGGGTCCTCCTGCTGGGGGAGCCAGAGAACCGCCGGGATGCGGTCGAAACCAGCGTCGCCATCCGTCGCGACGGGAAGGCCGAGCAGCTGAGAGTACGCAGACTCGTCGTACGGGTCCTTGAGGCGGTGGAACAGGCGGAGGTCGGCCAGCCAGGCCAAGCCGGAGTCGGTCCTGCCCGCCAGGAGGGTGCTGCGGAGGCGATCAGGAGAGTACCCCAGAGGCACGTTACGGAGGACCAGATGGGTATCGCCCCTGGCGCGGGCGGTCGTGAACTCTTCGTTGGGATCAGTGAAAACCTTGACCTCCATAGCACGGTTGTTAGACAGACGCACGGTAATCGGAAACAGACTGCGGAAAATACGGGCATCATTGGCTGAGGGCCAGGAGCAAGAATGCTTGGAATAGGTGCGGCGCGGAAGCCGCAGGGCCTCACCAGCAGCAGCTTCAAACGAGGGAATGACACCATTGAAGGCCTGACCATTGATGAGAGAGGAGATACGCGCGAGAACAGCAGCACGAACCTCCTCCGCCAGGGACTCGGGAGAGATTATGTCGACCAGCGACTGCGTGTTGCGAGTCATCGCCTGCAGGACCGTTCCGACCGTCGTACGGTGGCGACGAAGATTCCGATAGCGGGCGTTGGGAGCCAGGCCCGTGGCCATCCCAGCAGCAGCAGGCTCAGGTTCGGGTTCCGGCGGTGCAGGCCGAGAACGGGAAACAGGCGCCGGACGAGGCGCGGAGGGAGCAGGCGCGCGGTCAGGAGTGGGGCCCGTGGCAGCAGAGCTACCGGAGGAGCTTGCGCGGGGAATCGGAAGAGGCGCCGAGTGAGGCGCCGAGGCGACGCCAGAAGCACCAGCAGCCGAGGGTTGCCCCTCACTGCACAGCGTTTTCGCGGCGGGTTCACCCGTCGAGGTCAACTGAGCACTGGCAGGAGCGGAAGTCGCAGCTCCGTCATGGAGATCGGGAAGGGCGCCATCAGGAAGATCCTCGAGGAACTCGTCTCCGAGTTCGCCAAGCGTGTCATCTCCCACGGGGATCTGCTCCTCCGTCATGACGTGATCAGGATTGTGCTCAGTAGCCATGGTTGCGAGGGGTAAGTATAAGCTAGCCAGAGGACTTGATTTATACCCAAACAAGAAAGGGGAGGAAATGTCTCTCCAGACAGGAAGCGAGAAAGCGTGGAAAGGCAGCGAGCCAGACCGCGCAGCGAAGAAGGTAAAGCGGTTCGAGAGTAATTTGGTGCCTTGGCGATGGCCATAGCAACCAGAGGAGGCTGACTGGACGCCAGATCGGCAGTCCGAGTCGGTAATGAGCGCATTTGCGCGAAGCTCAGGAACCAGGTTAACACGGGGAGCATTGCGCTGGCTTTGCCATAGCTGAGTCAGGCCGGGGTCAGGAGGACGAAACAGAAACGCCGCAACAGGCTTGCATGGTGAAGGACAACCAAACATGGTCCAGCCGAGAGTCCGAACGAAGCAGAAATGGTAGTCATATGGATAAGGAGGCAGACTCCCGAAATTATGGAAAGAACCAACGCCACCGGCAGACAGGGAGTAAATCCCGTAAGTTTGACACGCTGGAACAGCACAGCAACCGGAAGTTAGTAAGGAACCGTAGGCAGCAGGACTCACCTTTCCCAGAAGTTTGGAGCAGATATCCACGTCATGAGGAAGAATGGAAGAACCCAGGAACCTGTTCACAAGACACTCGTTACAAGAAAAGGAACCGAGCTTACCTCTCAGTAGATCGTCTACCTGTTTACATCGAACGCAAAGAGCATTATCCACGAGACGAACTAGCGGTGTAGAGGAGCTGCCGAGGTTGCTGTAAGCGAGGACGATGAGCAGCAGGGAAGCGGAGAGCTTCATTTCTTGGGTCAATGTAGAGGATGGGCAAGCTTGACATGTCAAATTCATGAAGCGGGCTGGAAACGTGGGCCAACCATAACGGGCTGTGTTCCCCGTTCCAGAAAACCTCGGACCATTTGAGAAATAATTGCTTTGGGACTCCGATCTGTTCTGGTGGCACGACACAACCCACATGGCGTGATGGCGTTATGAGTAGATCACGGTCATCGCGTTTATGAGGTACTGACAGAACAGCAGCGAGCCAGAAGAATTACCTCGAAAAACAACGGACGGGCAAGTTTTCGACAAAGGACGTCAACTCCTCCAGCGGCACGGGTCGAGGCGACGAGGATGCGTCGTGCTCGATGATCGGCGTGGTGGAACCGACGCTCTCGCTGGCGCCGAAGGCCGGCAAAGACTTCAAGGTGGTCGCGGCCGCCGTGCAGGCGAACCAGACGGTGGTCCTGCTCCATAACGGCAGCTCACACCACCTGATGGGGACGAAGGAGGCCTTCGTCGACATCGCGCCGAGCAGCGATGTGAAACATGTGCACAGCTTCAATGGGGCGCCGCAGTGTCAAACTTATATGTTGCATGTTGTGTAGGCCCATATGGGGTACAACCCAATTAGGATTTGCTACTTGTACCCATCTTGCTGCTAGTTCATCCATTCTCGTTCAGTTATTTCTGACATGGTTTCAGGGCAGGTCCTAGCCTAGGACCGTTTTTTTTTTAGGGCCCACCGAATCGCGCTACCCCACTTGTCGCGCCGCCCTGTTAGCGCCGCGCTGCCCTGCCCTGCCCTGCGTCGCGCTGTCCCGCGCACGCCCTGCCCTGCGTCACGCTGCCCGCGCACGCCTTGCCCGCGCGCCGCCCGTCGCCGCGCCGCGCCGCCCTGCCCGCGCGCTGTTCGCCGCCGCGCCGCGCCGCCCTGTCCGCGTGCTGCTCGCCGCCGCGCGCCCTGCCCTGCCGGCGCGCCGCTCGCCGCCGCGCCGCCCTGCCCGCGCATTACTCGCCGCCGCGCGCCCTGCCCTGCCCGCGCGCCGCTCGCCGCCGCGCCGCCCTGCCCGCGCGCTGCTTGCCGCCGCGCGCCCTGCTCTGCCCGCGCGTCGCTCGCCGCTGCGCGCCCTGCCCTGCCCGCGCGCCGCTCGCCGCTGCGCGCCCTGCCCTGCCCGGGCGCCGCTCGCCGCCGCGCCGCCCTGCCCGCGTACTGCTCGCCGCCGCGCGCCCTGCCCTGCCCGCGCGCCGCTCGCCGCTTCGCCGCTCTGTCCGCGCGCTGCCCGCCGCCGCGCCGCCGCCCTGCCCGTGCGCCGCTCGCCACTGCGCCGCCGCCCTGCCCGCGCGCTACTAGCCGCTGCGCACCCTGCCCTGCCCGCGCGCCGCTAGCCGCCGCGCCGCCCTACCTGAGCGCCGCTCGCCGCCGCCCTGCCCTGCTGGCCGCCGCCCAGCCTTGCCCTGCATGCGTGCTGCCCTGCTGCTAGCGCGCCCGCCTGCCCTGCCCTGCTGGCCGCCGCCCAGCCTTGCCCTGCTTGCGTGCTGCCCTGCTGCTAGCGCGCCCGCCTGCCCTGCCCGCTATGGCAACTCTCAGCGTCCTCACCTTCGATCCGGAGGGCCGCCCGATAGAGTTCGATGCGTGGCTCAACGACCTACAGCTGTTCCTACTGAGCGACTCTAGGGACGGCGTTTCACTGTTTGACCTCACGTCTGGAGCCTCTCTCGCCCCTCCCGCCACAGCTGACAGTGCGACTCGCTCACAGTGGCTTACCCGTGACGCTGCTGCTCGCCTAGCCGTTCGCAACCACCTGCCGTTAGCCGAACGCGCTCACTTTGGCCAGCACAAGACTGCTAGAGCCCTGTACGACGCTGTAGTCGCTCGTTACTCCTCCCCGGCCACTGCTGCTCTAGGCCGCCTTCTCCTGCCCTACCTGTTCCCCGAGCTGTCCGCCTTTGCCACAGTCGCCGACCTCGGCACTCACCTTCGCACTAGTGACACTCGCTACCGCGCTGCGCTTCCGGCCGAGTTCCTCGCCAAGAACCCTCCTCCCATGTACATCACTCTCTACTTCATAGTCACCCGCCTCCCTGACTCTCTTAGCGCTGTCAGGGACCTCCTTCTCGCCCTTGACCCCACCGACCTCACCGTCGACCTGCTCAAGAAGCACCTCCTAGCAGCTGAGACTAGCATAGTCGCTGTAGGCGCTTCTCGTGGCACTCCTCGCACTCCCTTCTTTGAGGGGTGTTCGCCCTCCCCCCTTGTCCCCTCAGTCGCCTCTACTGCAGCTGTTGACTACCTTCGTGCTGAGGAGGTAGGAGCTGCGTCTGCCCCTAGTGGGAGGCCCCGCAGCGGCAGGGGCAGGGGAGGCAGGGGCGGTGGGGGTGGCAGCGGTGGAGGCGGTGGTGGGGGCGGTGGAGGCGGTGGAGGTGGCGGTGGTGGCGGAGGGAGTGGTGGTGGGGGTGGAGGCGTAGGTGGCGGCGGTGGTGGCGGCAGTGGGAGTGGTGGCGGCGGCAGTGGTGGCGGCGGTGGGAGTGGAGGCGGCGGCAGTGGTGGTGGCCGGGGTGGTACTAGTCAGAGGGGAGGCTTTGGCGGTGGTCAGAGGCAGCAGCAGCAGCGTCAGCGTGAGACCCCTTCGCCCCAGGAGCTTCGTGAGTGGTTTGCTCAGCGTGGGGCGTCTGGGGGTAGTGGTCGCTGCCCGTATGTCATTCGCACAGGTGACCGCTCTGGTCAGACATGCGGGAAGTTTCACACACAGCACCGCTGATTCTCCCGTCTTGACGACGCCTTTCGCGCAGAGTTTCCCGACGCGACTGAGCTCCCCCGCTGGGCAGAGCTGGTTAGGCAGGGTGTGGATATCTTTGCTCTTGATTATGATGCTTTCCTTGCTGCCATGTATGCATTGAGTGTTAGTGCTGAGGGTGACTGTTACCTGTGTATGCCGCCCGACCCAGGTATAGAGGCTGCTGCTCTAGGTGCTAGTGAGTCTGCTCTCTCTGGTACTGCGCCTGCTGAGGCCTTGCACACCTTCACGCTTGACTCAGGTGCTTCCCGCTGTTTCTTTCGCGACAGTACCACAGTCACACCGCTCCCTGCACCTGATGCTGTCTCTCTGGCTGACCCCTCTAGGGGCCCAGTCCTTGAACGTTCCTCCACTGTTCTCCCGTGTCCGGCGGTTCCGTCTGGCTCACTGTCAGGTCTTCACCTCCCCTCGTTCTCTACGAACTTGGTGAGCAACGCCGTCCTTCAGGATGTATGGGTTGACACCTTTACTCCAAGAGGGCAGCGTGTGGCGAACTGTACGTGCTCCCGGACTGGCCGGCACCTGGCCATGTTCACCCGTCGGCCTGGATCGAGTCTGTACACACTGACTACTGTGTCTCCTCAGGTAGCTGCGTCTGCGTTTGCGTCAGGTCAGCTAGCTGCCCCTCCCTGCCGCTCGTCTACGTAAACTCCCTCGGCACTCACTATGTGCTGACAAACTGTACTTTCTTGAGGGCACAGTCGCTCTTTGATAGCTTTACATAGAAGTGATTTTTCCGCATGGATTTGAAGAGTTTCAGAAGATGTTCCGCGTGCTCCTTCATGGTCTTGGAGTAGATCAGGATATCATCTAGGTACACTACTAAGCAATTGTCTAGCAGGGGCCTTAGGATGTGATTCGTCTCCGCCTAGAATGTTGCTGGTGCGTTGCAGAGACCAAATGGTATCACGAGGTGCTCGTAGGAGTTGTAGGGTGTTCGAAACGCCGTTTTGTGGATCGATTTGGTTCTGCCATCTTGATCTTCCAGTAACCTGACCATAAGTCGGGTTTGGAAAATATCGTTGCTGCGCGCAGTTAATCCGTTAGTTTGTCTATATGCGGTATTGTGTATTGGTTGTTAACTGTATGTTTGTTAAGAGCCCGGTAGTCGATGCACATTCTTGAACTTCCGTCCGGCTTTGGAGTGAAGAGAACCAGTCTGACGTAGGGTGGTGTGGAAGGTCAGATGAGGTCACAATCCAGCAGGTACTTGATCTGCTTCTTCATGTCTACTAACTCTGCTGGGCTGAGGTGGTACGGTCCACGGAAGGTCGGTCTTGAACCGGGTTCTTCCACAATCTTATGCTGGTGAGTTCGCTCTGGTGGCACTCCTACAGGTAGGTTGTCCGGCATGATGTCTTTGTATTCCTCCAAGACTATCTGTACTCCTGCAGGTGCGGAGATAACTTAATCAACGGGAGCAAGAATACGGGCTAGGCA